TAACAGGCACTGCTGGGGGTGGAGTGGCCTTTTACTGTTAGCTGCCATGGGGCCAGTGACTCAGGCTTTTGTCGAAGAACAATGCTGCCAAGGTACCACAGGGCCTAAGAGGTGTTTTGATGCTTGAAGACCCAAATGAGACTAGTTGCAGAGAAAAAGCAAGGAAAAAAAAAGAGAAGCAGAGACCAGGAGAGGAGGTCAGAGAGCAAGGCAGGGTTGAAAGCAAGATCAGAGATGAGAAGAGAGATGGACTGCATTTCTCTGCAACATTGTTTTTGTGAGCCTGAAAACAAACTGCTTCTCTGGCCTGAGATCATATCTTCCTTGGTAAGACTGACTTTTCTCTGCAACATTGTTTCTGTGGGCCTGAAAACAAACTGCTTCTCTGGCCTGAGATCATTTCTTCCTTGGTAAGACTGAGAATGTCAAATGGTGAGGATCACAATAGTATCATGGTTCAGCCTGATGGCTCTAAATTGTCCTTCAGCCCTGAATTATCCTGCTTTGATCTCCCTCCTAAAGGAATCCCTGTGGTTTCTGATGACGGGTGATTACTGCTTGCTATACTTCCTTTTATTTTTTTGGAGACAGGAGTTTCAGTCCTGTTGGCCAGGCTGGAGTGCAGTGGTGTGATCTCAGCTCACTGCAACCTCTGCCTCCTGGGTCCAAGCTATTCTCCTGCGTCAACATCCCGAGTAGCTAGGATTACAGGCATCCACCAAGACACCCGGCTAATTTTTTGTATTTTCGGTAGGGATGGGGTTTCACCATGTTGGCCAGGCTGGTCTCGAACTCCTGACCTCAGGTGATCCACCTGCCTCAGCCTCCCAAAGTGCTGAGATTACAGGCATGAGCCACAGCACCCAGCCTGCTCTCTACACTTACTAAAATGTAAGCAGCAGCTAATATATTCCTTCCTTCCTTCCTCGTTCTCTTTATTTCTCTTTCTTTTCCTTCTTTCTTTCTCTCCTTCCTTCCTCCTTTCTTTTCCTCATTCTTTCTTTCTTCCTTTTTTTTTTTTGGAAACAAGGTCTCACTCTGTCGCCCAGGCTGGAGTGCAGTGGCATGATCTCAGCTCACTGCAGCGTCTGCCTCCCAGGCTCAGGTGATCCTCCCCACTCAGCCAGCCTGCCAGCTTGCCTGCCTGCCTTCCTTCCCTTCCTTCCTTCCTTCCTTCCTTCCTTCCTTCCTTCCTTCCTTCCTTCCTTCCTTCCTTCCTTCCTTCCTCCTTCCTTCCTGCACTCCCCTTTTTCTCTGTCCCTTCTCTCTCACCTCCCTCTCTCTCTTCCTCTGTCCCTGTCTTCCTTCTTTCCAGTCATTCATTCCCTTGGTAGACACAATGGTGTGAAGCCCAAATTCCCCTTCAGGAATGAAGGTCTTATTCTCCCAGTGGCTGAAAGACCACCCTCAGTTATCAGCCCTCTTTGGGGGTTGCCATGTCTGAAGATAGTCCCCTTGCCCAAGGGCCACACCTCCTTCCCAATGATAGCCCCTATTCAGGGAGTGATGCATATGTGGGTATAAGAGCCTGGCCAGCACCTCCTCCCCATGCAGATTCCTCGGAATCTGTAGGGTCCCTAGGAGCCTCTAATCAGCTGAACATCAGTTGCCTGACCTAGTTTAGTGGACCAATGAAAATTGTGTATAATCTCGTAGAAGGCAGTGTTGGATTAGAAGGCCATGCTGCTCGGAGTTCCCTGTGACCAGCTGAAGTCTTGGCATGGCAGCCCACCTCCTCCCTCTTTGCAATTTGGCTTCCAGCCCCTTTAGAAGCTCCACTGGGGTCAATCCTATGCCCCTAAGAAGCATCCTGCATGCTGACCAGCCCCTCAGTGTCAGCCTCCCAGAGCCCCCAACTGTGGCAGGTACCAAACTGATACTGGTTGCTATTTGCAATGAAAGACACCTGTGCTGTTGCTGCCAACCTGCTTACATCTGACATGACAGTTCAGTGAATACCTTCACTTCACACACACACACACACACACACACACACACACCAGTTCTCTAGAATTGTGTGTGAGTGACACTGCTTGGTAGATACCAAGGCAAGATAGACTGAGCAATACCTCTGAAAACAAAAATCAATTGTACAAAGCCCCTCTTATGAGAGAAAATGTTTTGTGTATATACAAATATGCACACACACACACACATATATAAAGCCTATTTTCAGGAGCCCCTTGAAAATCCGGAACTCCTCTAGCCATCCAAGGCTTCGGTTTTCTCTTGAAAATCTTCCTTTGACCTTTGATATGCTTGGTTTCTGTGGTGCCATTTGAGAGCTTGCATCATCTCAGCATTTCTCAGACTTGGCCCAGCGCACACCTTTCCAGCTACCTATCCTTCAGCTGTCCATCTGGAAGCGGAAGCATTCCTTCATGCCATCCTATTGCCTTTCTGCAGAGCATAGACCATTCTAACAGAGCCGCACAGAGAGGCTGCTGCTGCCTACACAGAGGAAAACCAATTGTGTCTTCTTGTTCAATGAAAAACATTCATGTCTTTTTTTTTTCTTGACAGGAAAGCATCCCCAGGCATGCTTTAAGACATGACACCCTTGGCATCAAATCTAGCAGATATTTATCCTGTCTTTGTCTCAAGAAAGTGATTCCTAAATGAGCTATTGTTCTCTGTGAACCAAGTACTAATTAGCATGGCCTTAGTGTGGACCTTCCTTTTCCAAAAAATCTTATTTTCCTGGTAGAGGAGCAGGCGTGCTAGAGTCAAGGGAAAACGATGACTAGCAGGTTAATTGTGAAGCCCAAATCTGTGGCATCAGAGCAACGGGAAACAGTCCTGCTGTTTGAAGTCTGCAAAGCAATTTCACACTGCAGGAAGGGGCACCTGATGCCTGTGGGAGCCTGGACTGGCATGGACCTTGTACATGGGTCAGCCAAAGAAGGATGACATATAACATAACTCATTCTGCCAGAGAGAAACAGAGGCTTTATCCTTGGGGCTGACCCCTTAAATTAAGATTATGCCACCCAGGATCAGAGAGGCTGAATGCCCCACTCAAGGTCACACAGAGCTTTTTGGCTTATGGTGTGGTGGATTAAATGTTTAAAGTTCATTTTTATTTTTTTTTTAATTGTGGTGAAATATACATAACAGAATACACTATCTCCACCATTTTTAAATATCTAGTTTAGTGACATTAGGATCATTTCACATTGTACAACCATGGCCACCATCCATCTCCAGAACGTTTTGACTTTCCAAACTGAAACTCAGTCTCCATCAACTCTGGCCCCTTTATTCTTGGGGCCAATCCCTTAAATTAAGATGATGTTACCAGGATCAGAGTGGCTGAGTGCCCCAGTGGACATCACACAGAGCTTTTGTACCCAGACTTTCGTTTTTATTGCCCCCCACCCCCCAACACACACACACATGCGCACGCGCGCACACACACACACACACACACACAAACTATTTTGAACCAATTAACTTCTGATTCTCTCCTTCCCTGCAGTCAGTGGCAACCTCCATTCTACTTTCCGTCTCTATGAATTTGACTATTTCTGATACCTCATAGAAGTGGAATCATACAGTATTTACCTTTGTGTGGGTACACTTTACTTAGTATGAAGACCTCAGGTTCATCCACATTATAGCATGTGTCAAAATGGCCTTCACCTTTTAAGGCTAAATATTTTTCACATGTATATACTATATGTGTGATATATACATAATTACATGTACACCAATAGATGAAGAAGTTCTGTTTACCTATATGAATAAATAAACAAAATGTGGTATATATATATACACTCACATATGTATATTCGTATACATTCATTCATCAAGGTACTCTTCAGTTGCTTCTGCCTTCTGCCTATTGCAAATAATATTGCTACGGTAACCCAACTGGGACTAAGGGCCAACATGGGTGTACAAATATCTCTGTAAATGTAAAGATAATTGTTGTTATTGTTGTTTTGTTTTGTTCGGGACAGAGTCTTGTCGTGTTGCCCAGGCTAGAATGCAGTGGCAATCAGCTCACTGCAACCTCCGCCTCCCAGATTCAAGTGATTCTCTTGCCTCAACCTGTGGAGTAGCTGAGATTACAGGTGTGCACCACCATGCCTGGCTAATTTTTGTATTTTTACTAGAGATGGCGTTTCACCATGTCAGCCAGGCTGGTCTCAAACTCCCGACCTCAAGTGATCAGCCCACCTCTGCCTCCCAAAGTGCCCAGATTACAGGCATGAGCCACCCCACCCAGCCTTAAAGATAATTTTTATTTTTATTTATTTATTTTTTTGAGACGGGAGTTTCACTCTTGTTACCCAGGCTGGAGTGCAATGGCACGATCTCAGCTCACCGCAACCTCTGCCTCCTGGGTTCAGGCAATTCTCCTGCCTCAGCCTCCTGAGTAGCTGGGATTACAGGCACGCGCCACCATGCCCAGCTAATTTTTTGTATTTTTAGTAGAGACGGGGTTTCACCATGTTGACCAGGATGGTCTCAATCTCTTGACCTTGTGATACACCTGCCTCAGCCTCCCAAAGTGCTGGGATTACAGGAGTGAGCCACAGCGCCCGGCCCCCAAAGATAATTTTTAAGTTTAAATTGATTTTTAGAAAATATACAATTGCATTTTCTGCTGGTGGAGCCTAACTGATATTTGAGCCGGGCTGTCACCATTTTATGGTCTGTTCTATTCTATTTAGCCTGCTTGGGTGGCTTTACAAACACAGGCTCTGGTTCTTCCTTTAGTCTAACCAAAGACATAAAGACAAAGTGGGCAGAGCTGGCGGAAAAGTGGCTCAGCCCTTGCAGAATGTCTGTCCCTAGGACACGGTGTGATTTGGTTCCCTGATGTCCCAGTGCCTAAGATAGTTCCTGGCACCGAGGAGACTCTCAATACATTTTTTGGGGAGAGGATAAATGAAAAAAAAAAGGAAACTTTTTAAAATCAATGGATTGTATTGATCTATTTATTTTTAAACAAATTTATCTTTAACCAAACTTAAATGTGTATCTAGTTGTAGAGCTTATTTTCTGTAATAACCATCGCGGATGGGAGCCATGAGTTTGTGAATGAATGGACAATGGCACGCCTGGAAAAGAGTGAAGTCTCCTTTGTGCCTTTAGCACTATAAGGAACCTTTTAAAAAAAAATCTTTGAGGTGCTGCCACCAGACTTAGACAAAAAAAGACACGTGTTGCTGAAGATGGATCAGGCTTTGCTACTCATTCATAATGAACTCCTTGGGACCAACTTGACTGTCTACTGGAAATCGGAATCCTGTTATCACTGCTTGTTTCAGGTTCTGGTAAATGTTCCTCAGAGCCCAAAAGTGGGGAAGCCTAGCACTGTAGCTGTCCCTGTCAGCACCCAGCACAGATCTATCCTACAGCTGAACAACACCTTGGAAGAGAAAGAAGTTTGTAGGCTGGAATACGAATGTGGAGAATTTGGAAACTATTCTTTCTCGGTAAAGTACATTCATAATGGAGTTAGTGAAATTGCCTGTGACCGGGCTGTGAATGGGGATCCACCCGACAGTAACCTTCCCGTGAGCACTGCATTCCTTATTGGTCTCGCTCTCATCATTGTGGTATCTTTTCTGAGGCTCTTGTGGAGTTTGGATGACTTTAATAATCGAATTTCTAGGCCATAAGTTCTTGAGAAACTGATCGCCTCATCAATTCTGAGCTGGGATCTCCCAGCAGGACAGACCCTCTCGATAGTGACATCCAGCCAGCAATGTGGCATCCATTTGCCCTGTGGCTCCCTCTCCATGGCACAGACACCTTCAGGGGGATTGCTGTCATACTCATGGTCTTTGTCAATTATGGAGAAGGAAAATATTGGTACTTCAAACACACCAGTTGGAATGGGTTGACGGTGGCTGACCTCGAGTTCCCATGGTTTGTATTTATTATGGGATCTTCCATTTTTCTATCAATCACTTCTATGCTGCAATGGGGATATTCAAACTTCAGAGTGCTGGGGAAGATTGCATGGAGGAGTTTCCTGTTAATCTGCATAGGAATTATCATTGTGGATCCCAATTATTGCCTTGGTCCATTGTCTTGGGACAAGGTGCGCATTCCTGGTGTGCTGCAGCGCTGGGGGTGACTTGCTTTGTGGTTGCTGTGTTGGAGCTCCTCTTTGTTAATCCTGTGCCTGAACATTGTGCCTCGGAGAGGAGCTGCCTTTTTCTTCGAGACATAATGTCCAGCTGGTCGTAGAGGCTTCACATCCTGGCGCTGGAAGGCCTGGGGCTGGGCCTGACACTCCTCCTGCCAGTCCCTGGGTGCCCTACTGGTTATCTTGGTCCTGGGGGCATTGGAGATTTTGGCAAGTATCCAAATTGTACTGGAGGAGCTGCGGGCTACATGGACCGCCTGCAGCTGGGAGACGATCGCCTTTACCAGCGCCCATCTTCTGCTGTGCTTTTCCACACTGAGGTGGCCTATGATCCCGAGGACATCCTGGGCACCATCCACTCCATCGTGATGGCCTTTTTAGTAGTTCAGGCAGGAAAAATACTATTGTACTACAAGGCTCAGACTGCAGACATCCTGGTTCGATTCACTGCTTGGTGTTGTATTCTTGGGCTCATTTCTGTTGCTCTGACAAAAGTTTCTGAAAATGAAGGTTTTATTCCAGTAAACAAAAATCTCCGATCCCTTTCATATGTCACCACGCTCAGTTCTTTTGCCTTCTTCGTTCTGCTGGTCCTGTACCTGGTTGTGGATGTGAAGGGGCTGTGGACAGGAACCTGTTCTTTTATACAGGAATTAATTCTATTCTGGTGTATGTTGCCCATGAGGTATTTGAGACCTACTTCCCCTTTCAGTGGAAGCTGGAGGACAACCAGTCCCACAGGGAGCACGTGACTCAGAACATTGTTGCCACTGCCCTCTGGGTGCTCACTGCCTACATCCTCTAGAGAAAGAAGATTTTTTGGAATATCTGATGGCTCCTGCTGACATGTACCGCTGGGAGACTCTAGTGGGCCTGCAGGGAGGACTGAAGCAGCCTTCATTAAAGGGAAGCACTCATTAGGGAAAAGAAAAATCTTTGATACCTTGCAGCTGCATTAGAATTGCTAAAACAAAAATTATTAACTCTCGTCTCTTAACTGCAACTAAAGTTGGCAACTCCCCAAAAAAATGTTAAAGAAGATGCTTGTGTGTCAGGTGACTATGAGCACGATTCTACTGCTTACCACGAAACCACGAATCACGTCGCATACAGTAGCAAGTGGTTTCTTAGCCAGGAGCCTTGGGGTTGCGCATGCAGCAGCTGGTGGTTCCTTAACTGGGAAGCCTCAAGGTTGGCTGGGGTTTGGCTGATCTGGGCTGGGTTCAGCTGAGCCATCTGCTTCTGAGCATCAGCGGAGGGTGGTTTCTTGAGGAAGTCTGGGCTCAGGGTCACTCTGTGACCCTGGTGAAGGAGCCAGCGCGTCTGGGGCAAGTTCTCGGCATGGCCAGGCACAGGCAAAAAGTGGAGAGCGCTAGCAGAAGCAGCAAGGCCTGTAAAGGCACGCCTTCGCTTCCACTTTAATTTATTGGCCAACACTAGTCCCACGGCCAAAGTTGAAGGAAGGGGGAAACTGGGAAATATGTTCTACCTTTTGTGGGAAAAACTGTAAAGTCATGGAGAAAAGATCTAAATACAGAGAGGTCTGGAGAATTGGACCAATAATGGTACCTTCCACAACTGGCTAATGAAAAATATGGTGGCTTGCTGGGGAGGTCACACTGCAGCATGAGATCCACTCAGCTTAGCATCCCCACCATCACCACCATGAAGCCCAGGGAGGGAAGACTCTGAGGGGATCCTCTGGCAGAATCTGGTTGTCATGGACTGAATGTTTTGTCCCCCCACAATTCGTATGTTGAAATCCTAAAGCCCAACATGATGGTATGAAGCAGTGGGGTTTTGGGAAGTGGTTAGGTCAGGAGAGTGGAGCCCTCATGAATGGGATTCATGCCTTCATAAGAAGAGACCAGACGGGGTCCAAAGTGGCTCCCGCCGGAGCTCATGGCGCTCGCAAAGGCGAGGTCATCAGTTCAAGGCTAACCTGAGCAACCTGATTAGCTCAAACTGATTGGCAAAAAAAAAAAAGAAGAGACCAGAGAGCTCCCTAGCCCCTTCCGCCAAGTGAGGACACAGCCTGGAGGCGCCACCTATGAACCAGGAAGTGAATCCTCGTCAGACACTGAACCAGCCCGCATCTCCATCTTGGACTTCCCCCCTCCAGAACTGTGATAATAAATGCTTGTTGTTTAAGCCACAGATATAACCAGCCTACGGTGTATTTGTTATCATAGCCTGAACTAAGATACTAGTAGTAGAATATAAAGGTAAGAATTACAGTAGTACTTACCGTGCTCCTTAAGAGTGTGCCTTTGCATGATGATTGCCATGCCAGGCCTCATGCAGCAGCTGACAGGTTGAAAGTCCTAATGTCACCTGTGCAAGGAGCAACTGTCACCTTGCCTGAGCCTTGACATAGAATCCAATCTTTAGAACCCTCACTAGGCAACACAGATGATTTTCTGACTATTAATGGCAGTAAATCTTGCTTTTCCCTGTAAAAATGAGAAACGTCTAGCTTCACCCTTAGCATGGGATCCCCCTTGCCAGGATAATCACTGTCAGAAGCTATTTTGATTTCACTGCTCACCCAGCAGCTGGAAGTGAGCACTTGTGATTAGCTCAAAAGCTAACAGTAAGACATCTCCAGCTGCTGGCCTTGGAAACCAGGTATAGGGTCAGGTAATTACAGTAACATTTCCTTAAGCTCATGTTGCTGTGGCAGGGCAGGTTTCATCAAAACTGAACTTGTTGGAAGAGTCTCTGAGGCTGCTTTCTGGGTAGATCATCTAAGTGGCCTATAGCAAGGGTCCTCAACTCCCAGGCCACGGACTGATAGGGGACCTAAGCTCCGCCTCCTGTCAGGTCAGCAGCAACATTAGATTCTCACAGATGCAGAAACCCTATTATGAACTGCGCATGCGTGGGATCTAGGTTGTACGCTCCATCCTTTTCCCCTGTCTGTGGAAAATTTGTCTTCCATGAAACCGGTCCCTGGTACTAAAAAAGGTTAGAGACCACTGGTTATAACAGGCAGGCCAGAAGTGGACGCTGGGCTTTCCAGGTCTACTCATCGTCGGGTTCCTGTAACAGTGGTAAGTGTTAGGGACAGGGAAGAGGGGGAAAACAGGAAACCCCTAGCATCACTGGTCCATTTCTGAGTGACTCAGACTTGGGTACATTTCCCTGAAGATCCTCCTCCATAAAGGTCTCGATGACTTTAATCAATCAAAAGGTGACTTGGGAAGCTGGGCCTGGAAGGCAGAGTTTATGTAAAAAAAAAAACAAAAAAAAAAAAACGTGATGGAGGTTAGTAGTGATATTGTGAAAACAGAAATAATGACACAGACCCATTGGTCTAGAAACGGCCAGAAAGAGAAAACTTATTAGTGTTAACTTTGCTGATTCACTCTGGTGGACTATAGACTTCTCCATTCCACAAAATGCATTGTTGACGAATGACCAATGTTGACTAATCTCTATCACAAGCAACCTTAAAATACAGAAGCACAGGAATGTAGACTCAGCCTTTCTGTGTTTGTGCAGTCACGGGCTACATAACAACATTTCAGTTAACAACAGACCCCATAAGCAACGGTGGTGTCCTAAGATTATAATTTCTATCACCTGGTGGTGTCTAGCCACGGGAACATGGTCGCACAAGACACTGCTCTTGTAATTGTGGTGATGCTGCTGTAAACACAACTACTGCCCTGACAGTTGTACAAAAGTCTAGCACGGGCCGGGCGCAGTTGCTCAAGCCTGTAATCCCAGCACTTTGGGAGGCCGAGATGGGTGGATCACGAGGTCAACAGATCGAGACCATCCTGATCAACATGGTGAAACCCCGTCTCTACTAAAAATACAAAAAATCAGCTGGGCACAGTGGCACGTGCCTGTAATCCCAGCTACTCAGGAGGCTGAGGCAGGAGAATTGCCTGAACCCAGGAGGCGGAGTTGCGGTGAGCCAAGATCGCGCCATTGCACTCCAGCCTGGGTAACAAGAGCAAAACTCCCTCTCAAAAAAAAAAAGTCTAGCACATACAATTATGTATGGTACATAATACTTAATAATGATACTAAATAACCATGTTACTGGTTTATGTATTTACTATACTATACTTTCATCATCATTTGAGGATGTACTCTGTCTACTTAATCCAAGACAGTTACTTTTAAAATGGCCTCAGGCAGGTTCTTCAGGAGGATTCCAAGACAAGACATTGCTATAATAGGAGATGACAGCTCCATGCGTGTTATTGCCCCTGAAGACCTTCCAGTGGGACAAAATGTGGAGGTGGAAGACAGGGGTATTGATGGCCCTGACCCTGTGTAGGCCTACGCTAATGTGTGTGTTTGTGTCTTTGTTTTTGACAAAAAAGTTTAAAACATTAAAAAAAAATTAGAAATAGGAAAAAGCCGGTGGCTCACACCTGTAATCCCAGCACTTTGGGAGGCCGAGGCGGGTGGATCACGAGGTCAAGAGATCGAGACCATCCTGGTCAGCATGGTGAAACCCCGTCTCTACTAAAAATACAAAAAATTAGCTGGGCACGGTGGCGCGTGCCTGTAATCCCAGCTACTCAGGAGGCTGAGGCAGGAGAATTGCCTGAACCCAGGAGGCTGAGGTTGCGGTGAGCCGAGATCGCGCCATTGCACTCCAACCTGGGTAACAAGAGTGAAACTCCGTCTCAGAAAAAAAAAAAAAAAAAAGAAATAGGAAAAAGCTGATAGACTAAGACATAGAGAATATATTTGTGTAGCTGTATGGTGTGTGTGTGTTAAGTGTTATTATAAAGAAGTCAAGATGTTAAATTAAAAAGTTTATAAAGTAAAAATTTATAGTAAGCTAAGGTTAATTTACTATTGAAGAAAAAAGTATTTTAAAATAAATGTTTAATAAATGTTGTAGGCCAAGTAGACAGTATTATAAAGTCTACAGCAGTGTACAGTAATGTTCTAGGCCTTCACATTCACTCACCACTCACTAACTGACTCACCCAGAGCAACTTCCAGTCCTGCTAGCTCCATTCATAGTAAGTGCCCCCTACAGGTGTGCAGTAGGTCATACATCTGCATTTGTGTGAGTGCACCCTCAATGTTTACACAATGATGAAATCACCTAATGACACATTTTTCAGAATGCATCCTTGTTGCTAAGCAACACATGACACTATTTAAATGTTCCTGAAGATGCTGGTCCTCTTCACTTTAATTGCAATTGTCTTCTTTCCTCTCATTCGACTCTAGGTTTTCTAAACAAGAAAACCTAGAGTTTTTTCTAGACAGTCTAGCTTCCCTAGCAAGCTAGACCATAAGCTCCTTGAGGCAGTTATCTTCTTTGCTATATTGTCTCACTGGGACAACTGAGGCTCCTGACATGAGTCTGGCACACAGGAAGTGTTCAGTCAACATCTTGAAGTGAATGAGGTATGGGAACACACCCAGGATCACCACCATTGATCACCACTAAGAGAGAGAGACTTAAAAAGGGATTGGTCCCCACTGAGAGAGAGACTTAAATATCCCATCAGCATCTTTCAAATTTAGGGTGGGAAGTGGTGGCAACAAAAGTTCCCGTTGATGCAGATGTTCTTTGTTTAGTGAGGAGGCCCTTGCATGACTCATGCTATGTACTGAATTGAGTACCTCCTGCTCCCAAATCCATACAATGAATCCCTAACCCCTAATGTGACTGTGTTTGGCAATAGGGCCTGCAGGAGATAATTATGGTTAAATAAACTCATAAGGACGAGGCTCTAGTAAGACAGGATTTGTGTCCTTATAAGAGGAGACACCAGGTGAGGAACAGCAAAAAGGTGGCTGTCTGCAGGCTGGGAAGAGAGCTCCCCATCAGAAACCAAATCAGTTGGCACCTTGATCTTGGACTTCCCAGAAACAAATTTCTGTTGTTTCAGTCACTCAGCCTATGGTATCTGAGAGTCAAACAGACTCAAGCTTATCTTAGTTATTCAAAATTTCCCACATTTAGGGTCCTACTGATTCCATCCTCTTAGTGACTTTTACTGTGTTCCTCTTTCTCCTGTATTTCCAGGAACTTGGTAGTTAGAGCTCTAGGCTTGGTTAGATTCCAGCTGATTTCTTCTGTCAAAAATTCTCATGGGCTGGGCGCAGTGGCTAATGCCTGTAATCCCAGCACTTTGGGAGACCAAGGCAAGTGGATCACTTGAGGTCAGGAGTTTGAAACCAGACTGTCCAACATGGCAAAACCCTGTCTTTAAAAAAATAAAATAAAAAATTCTCATGGGTGGTGCTGGGCATTTCGTGCTGCAACTCATGAAGAGTCACGTGATGTCTGGTGACCCCTTGCCTGGTGACGTTAGTGTGGCCCAGTGTGCTCAGGCGCTATCAGCCTGCTCCACCTGATAAGTTTCCCATTTGTTGCTCTCCTAAATAGTCTAGCATCTGTTGTTGATTATTGTCTGGATCCATGATCTCATGAAGGATGATACCTTCTTTTAAACACGCCTCATCCTGGGCCATAATCCCAAGTTTGGCCACAGGTGGCCACCTGTGGGTGGGCTGAGGAGGTAGGCAGCTACAGGACAAAAGCAAGAGAGAACCCAACAGCAGGGAGTCTTCATGGCTGACACCATTCCTTTCCAATTGTCAGTCACCCCATATTGCACGGAGGACCTAGAGACTGGTAACTTCTGTAGGCAGTGAGATGCCATGTTCCCACTGTCATTGTCAATGCATGATGATACCTCAGTGTCCCCCTTAAAGCTTGTTTTTGTTTTTGGAGTAATTTTAGCTGATGACTGACTCCCTGCTCCACACCCCCATGCAGGCATTCTCAGTAGAAAGGCAGTTCTGGACATAGCACCTTGTCATAAAATCCAGATTTTATTGTTGTCCTTGCCATAGCAAGTGGTCCCAAATGAAAATTGTGAACTTATCTCTTCTTGCTTTTCTCATTTGTCTTATCAGTATAGAATGCATGTTAGTTAGGTTGGATGAGATGACGTATTTGTCCATTTGCATTGCTAATAGGAACACCTGAGGCTAGGTAATTTATAATAAAAAGAGGTTTAATTGGCTCACAGCTCTGCAGGCTGTACAAGCATGGCAGTGGCATCTGCTTCTAGTCAGGGCCTCAGGAAGCCTTCAGTCATGGCAGAAGGCAAAGGGGGTGCCAGTGTGTCACATGGCAAGAGCAGGAGCAAGAGAGAGGTGG